GGACCCTTAGGGGATAGGAAGGCCCCTAAATTAAGTTTCAGCCCCTAAACCCTAAACCCTAAACCCCAAACCCTAAACCCTAAACCCTAAACCCTAAACCCTAAACCAGCAGCCCTTCATCCTCCCACTCCGGCTCTGGGCCTTTTGCTGCCGGTTTCAGGGCACAGACCCCTCTAAATCCCCCCAGGGTTTCGGGTTTAGGGTTTAGGGTTTCCCACTTTACGAATCCTGAGAGTAGGATGCCTACTATCATCCCTTTTGAGGCAAGGGGAGGGGAGGGCGGGGGGGGGGGGTATAAATTGCAGTTGACATAATTCTTCAGGCTGTCATTTTCTGGTGCTCTAATGGGCCTTAACGGTTCAAGGTTTTGGTTTCAAAACCTGTGATATCACATGGCCACGCAACCTTTCAACCTGGATCAAGTTCATACCTTATACTCCCTTCTATAAGCCCTAAACCCTAAACCCTAAAACCTTATAATCCCTATAAATCCTTAAGCCGACCGCCGACAACTGAAACAGCGCCGGTGGCAGTCGCCTCGCCCCGTGCATTCCCACAGTCGGGAAAACAGAGGAAGGGCCTGATCGGATGGCGTCGCAGAATGTAACAGAATGCTGAGTGAGTACACTTTACACTTTTTGGGATTGTATGATCCCGTATAGAACTGAAAGTGTACACTTTTTGGGACTTATGAACTCAGCAACTAAGTAGGTGTAGAAACCCTGAACCCTTAGAACAGGGTTTTCGATTTTGGGGTATACGATACGAAGGATATCGCAGGGAACCATAAACATGCTATTACCATTTTTTAGCCTTTTTAGGGATGCGAAGACTAGTGCGTCTTGGCACTTTCATTGCGTACGCACGTTTACGTCAGGTCAGGTTTGGAGATGTGCTGAGTTGTGAGGGTTTATCACCCGCAGCCTGTGATTGAAAGTGCGGGCTGCGCTGATTCGGCTTCCATCTTCGGTTTTGGATGTGGATGTCACGGTCCGCAATGTTCAAGCTAGTTTCGGCTTTCGTTTCTAAGGGGGTTAAGGGTTCAATGGGTGGCAGGATGGGGAGCAGGAGCAGTAGCAGAAGCGGTGGTGGTGGTGGTGGT